CCCACCCCCACCGTTCCAACTTACTTTGACAATTCTCCACTCCCTTTTCTTTTTCTTCTACTTCACATTTATTGAAGAAGAGGAAGAAAGAAAAGGAAGGGGAAGGAGGAAGCGAAGGGTTTGTTAGTAGCGACAGATGGTAGGGCAAAAAGAAAAGGAAGAGGGTTGGCAAGGGCTAAGTCATGGTGGTGGTACCAGTGCTTAGAGGGTGAGCTCAAAAAAGATTTTGGATGGCAGCCAACATTGGAAAGAGACAAGGGGTGGCGAGGGTTGCTGGAGGAGAGGGGCGAACAGAGGTGGCCGAAGCTGGTGGGGTAGTAATTAGTGTTTGTTTTCTTGTCTCTTCTATGTTTCTCTCTTTCTTTTTCTCTCTTTGTATTTTACCTCCAAACAAAGTTGTTTTGGGCATTACAATCTACAGAAAATCTGAATTCCTTTTACAAGCTAATTATTCAATAGTTCAAAATTTTATGTGACATTATTCATCATGATATAGCAAAAAAGATTACTGGTAGAATAATATTGATTTGTTTTTATTAAGTGATTAAAAAATAAGAATTAACTCAATGTGTTTTACAATTTAAAAATGCTAAAGATTCCAAAAGTTCTACCAAATGTAGGATCCACATAGGACCCACATAGCATGGATCTCACACTCATATAAGACATTTGATAAAAAAATTGAGATCTCTAATATTATTCTTTACAATTTCTTATTTATTAAGAATAACACATATTTAATGTCACATGACAAACTAGCTAATAATTTTTACTTTTTACCTAGCAGTTTCATGATGCATAATGAAAGGATGGTTTGGCTAAACTGGAAATTAATCTCTTTAAAAAATAAAGTTTGTGTACATCATGTCTTTTTGGGGAAAATTATTTAGAGCACTAGGAACAAAAATACATATATGGTCTCTCAATCTAATTTGTATTGATTTAAATAATAAACTTATCACTTTTATGTTAGTTTTTGGAAAATAACAAAACAAGTTTTACAACATCAGTAGAGTAAGCAATGCTCTAATATCACTAGTTAACTTCTTCCTTTTCAGATAACACTAGCAATAATCTCGTGCATTGGATTTTTTTTTTTTGGTAGAGAAATTACAAAAAAGAAAAAAGAACAAAAAGAAAAGAAAAGAAAATTGAGAGTTTGACTTTTATAATAAAATGAATCGTGAATTTTTAATTTTATCAATTTAAATCTCAAACAAAATCGACAAAAAAAATGATATTTTAGTCATTAAACGCAATGTGTGTGTACACAAAATATCTAAAATACCTATTTTCGTTGATTTTAATATCTAAAATATCATATTTCTGTCAATTGTACTTAACATAAATAGACAGACCATTTAGATTGAAAAAAATAAGAAAAATTATAGTTTAAATTTACAAAATTAAAAACTCATAATTTATTTTAGAAAAATGATATAGAAGTCCACTTTTTTGACTTATTTTTCAAACCTAATGATTAGTTGATAATTAGAGAATACATGAGAAAGAATGTTACTTTTCATATCCTAATTGATTGGCACGTCACTGAATTTGAAAATTAAATCTAATTTTTTGTCTTGAATAAATACTCTTTATTTTATTACAAGAAATTGACCCTTGTAAGTCATTTCATCTTTAATCTTTCCATATACAAATGGTAATTAAAAGATAGGTTTTCTTTCTTTCTTTTTTTTCTTTCTTCTATTTTTTTTTTGTTTTTTATAATTATAATATGCTTATCGTGTATTAATCAAACTTGTTATATATTTCGTTAAATTTTCTTCAACCCGACGCATAATAACTTTGTGATTATTGCAGTGGCAACACTTTTTATATGGGAAGATTAGAGATGCCATGACTTTTGTTGTTGGATAGTAAATTACTTTAAAAAGTATTATTTTATTGTCTGTTAAAGATGTTAAACTTTTACTTTTTTTTTTGTTAAAAAATCTTTTTTGAAGTGTTTGGGGGTGGCTTCTGTGAAGCTATCTGAAAGCGCGACCACTATACTCATCATCATAATCATGGGTTCGAATTCACGCCGCAAATCAAGCCCTTTCAAAGCTGCCCCAATCAACTTTGTGTGGTCATCAATAGTAATTATTGTAGTGACATGATCCAACGGTTGAAAATAAAGAATTATAATTTTTTTAAACAAATTAAAAATTTATACATACTGTATAGAAATAAAAAAAATTGATCCAAATTCATTTAAGGATAGATTTTACTATTCAATAACTGAATTTAAAACTCATCATTTTCTTTATACTTTTTTATATTATTAGGTGGAGTTTGGTAATTATTTTTTTAATTTTTTGTTAACTCTTTTTTAAAGAGAGAGAGGCTTCTCTCAAGTTGGCTATTAGGCCTCTCTTTGGAAAGATAGGTTGGGTTGGGTTGGGTTTTGGGTTATTTTAATTATAAAAAGATAAAATAAATTTTTTAGTTCAATAAGATAAAATATTACATCTAATCATAATCATTACATTATTTCTCTCACAAAAAATCTAAAAAGTCAAAAAGTTAACTCACTTTCCAAACGAACCCTAGAGGTGTTATTAAAGAGTAATGCTAGAGATTTCAAAAATTTTATCAAATTTTATACCACATGCCTCATGTGGTGAGTGGATCCCACACCTGTGAGACACTTAGTAGAAAATTTAGTAAAACTTTTGGTTATTAAACCTTCATAAGCTTATTACAAGGCCCACCTTGATAATCATAACTATTCATATTGTAAGGTGTATCGAGAAAATTATCTTCACAAAAATCAAATTGATTGAACAACTGTAAATGTATTATTAGATTACATTTGTCTTCAAACTAATGAAAGATTTATTTTTAAAATTACAATTGTCGTCTCTTTTTATTTATTTATTTATAATAAATGTGATTTAATTATGTGGTTATTGTTGTTCAAACAATCTGATATTTTGTGAGAACAATATTCATGATAGGCACTACAATATAAACAGTTCACATTATTAAGGTAAGCCACATAATGAGCTCACGTGAGCCCAATTAAAGAGGAGTCCTTTTTAATATCTAAAAAAACTAATGCATTTGATAATTGTTCAAACTTTACTTCTTTTTTTTTAAGTGAAAATTTGATTTTTTAGTTTTTTTTTTTTAAGTTCAAGATAAACAAAATTTTGTTTTCAACTTATTTAACTAAAAATACAACTTTTTCAGTACTCTCTAAATAGAAAATTTAATGTGGGCATCATTAAAGTAACATTACTTTTTAAAAAAAAATTAAAAAATGGCACTAGTAGTGCCATCCAAAAATGACTTTGGCTTTGCAAATTTAATTGTAACTTGTAAGTATTGAAAATGCTCTTGTATTAAAGTTTGAAATGAGATATTCTCAAAAAATCGTAAGCTTTTGAAGTGTCAATTTGCTTTGAGTCGTAATCGTTGATGACAAAGAAAATTGACAAAGTGAGAGGATTAGCCAGGACACCACATGAAAATAGTATCACTATCTTTATTCAAATACTAGTTGAGCATCTAAATCTTCTTTACGAATATTTCCAAAAAAGAAAATCAAAATTATTTTTTTCTTTGATTAAAAAAATTCGAACCACATTATTTACACTCCAAAAAATAAATTGAAATATATATATATATATATATACATTTAAGTTTTAGTGATACAACTCTAAACATGGATTGAGTCTTTCCTTCATAATGTTACCTTAAAAGTTAAAACAAAGCGAAATTACTTCAAAGAATTAGAATGATGTCATTTTCAGCTTCAAAAAATTGAAATATTATTTATATAAGATTTTGTGATATAAATAAACATGGGTTTAGCATTCAAATTATTAAGGACACCACATAAAAATAATATATCACTGTTTTTTTTTTTTTTTTTTAAATATTCAAATTGTAGTTGATTAGCATCTATCTTTTGGAATATTACAAAAATCAAACCTACTTTAAAGTAGGATCAACAACATTTTTAGCTTTAAAAAATTGAAATATATTTTTATATGAGATTTCGTGATATGAGTAAACACAGGTTTCGCATTGAAATTATAAATTAAATTATTTGCAAGAGAATATTATCATAAGTCAAGTACTTAGGAATTAAGGTTTCTAAGTACACGGGACACATGGGGGAACAAAGCTTGTATCATACAAAAGAAGCATATATTGGAAGTGTTTTTGCGTTTGAGAATCTGATTTAGATCATTCATATAAAGGTTGTCTCCAATGTATGCAGCCTAACCCCAAAAGGCAAAGGCCAGAGGGCAAAGGCAAATGCAAAAGGCAAGAGAGAGACAGCGTAAGGCCTATTTTGAGAAGTGGTTTAAAATTCACTTCTCAATTTTAACTCACTTTCCTCTGTCACAAAAAAGTCAAAAAAGACCAAAAAATAATTTTTAATCATCTTCCCAAAACACTCCTAAGTAGTGGAAGAGGGTGATTTGATTGGTTACATGACATTAGTTTTACAGAAGATTTAAGAATCCAGATAATAAATCAGAAAATGATCTAAATTTTGTAATCAACAGTGTATATTTAAAGTTGTTATTGTGGAGTCATAATATGAGTAAATTCAGCCTTCCATTACAAATTTTGAACACTTTTCTGATTTATTTTTCTGGGTTCGTAAAACTACTGTTAGGTTTAGGGTATCTCCTTGTCACTTCTCTTTTTCTGTTAGAGAAAAGAAGCAAAACCTAACCCTAGATGAGTGGTCTTTTCACAAGAGGTGGGGGTGGGTGATCCCTAGGATATGTTAATTTTGCTTTGTGGAAATACCCCTTGATTCTATTATTGTTTCTTTATATATATGGCCATCTTATCATTTCTTATTTACATCATTCCTCCACATTTCACATGTCGCATCTCTTCTTCCTTTGTCAATTATGCATGTATAAATATATTCCCTTGGAAAGTCCTGTGTCTAAGAAATGCTCCTTGGTTGAGTTAGTTAGGTCACTCCTAACAATTCAAACCAACCATGTTCATAATCAGGATTGTAAACAGATTCTCAAAGTTCTGTATGAATTTTTTTTGTAAGACTTTTTTTTTTTTTATTAAAAAAAGATAAAATTACCAACATGTCCTATTAGTCGAAATCATTACCTAACAAGTCCTAAGGCCCTATTTGGGAACAGGCTAATTTAGTAACTTTTTAGCTATTTGGCTAAAATATGAGCTAAAAAAAACTAGTATGTTTGGGATGACTTTTTGACTTTTTACGAAAAGATGTGCAAAAAGTAGAGAGAAAAGAGAATCTTTGACTTTTTGGTATGGGTTGTTGGCTTTTTAACTTTTTTTAATAACTTTTTAGCTTTTTGGCTAAACCGACCGTTCCCAAACGAAGTCTAAGTAACATTTTTATGAACATATTAATCCTGGAAATTGTGTTTTTTTTTTTTTGTTTTTTCCTATTGCAATGAGTTTGTTGTGAAATCATTGTAAATTATGGATTAACGGGTTGGATTGTGAGGGAAAAATCAAAAATATGAACCTATTAACTTAGAGAGTCACTTGTTAGGTATGAAGTCTGGTCCATAAGACTGGGAGTTAACAGTCCAGAAAAGCAAGCCTGCCTCATAGAATCTAAAACCTAGAGGCCCATTATTGTGACCCAATTTTTTAGACAAAAAGAGGCCCAATCGCCCCAATCTGGTTCTTTTTAACGATAACATCGTCATTACCGCCGAAAAGTTTAAAAAATCAGAAAAGACAACTGACTCAAACTGATCAGACTCAATCAGCTGCCACGTGTCGCCATGCACATGCAACGTGTCACAGACAAGCCACGTATCTTCCTCCCTCTCTGCCACCACTTTTTCCCCATTATATAACCAAAACCAAACCCATATTTCACTACTACCCACCATAGCTCTCTCTCTCTCTCTCTCTAACAATGTTGAAGAAATATGGGAAATTGCTGGTACTTTTCTTGATTTGCTTACAAGTCATTGTCAGTGTAAGAGCTTTGGGTCATGATGATGATGATCATCATGAGGGGGATTGGAGTGCGGGGTCAGTGGTGAGGAAAGATGAGAGGAAGTCAGTTGTGTCGACAGAATATGGGGAGATCTCGGCAGTTGAAATCAGTGACGGAGTCAGAGGAGGGGGGCGTTATCATCTTCAGTTCATAACATTGGAGCCCGATGCTCTGTTTCTTCCTGTACTCCTTCATGCAGACATGGTCTTCTATGTCCACTCTGGTACTTTTTTACTCATGTCATTCTAAAACATATACATATATTAATTAAATCAAAAACTCAACTATTAACTAATGTCATTTTAGTTTAGCTGTTTAAGAGCATCTCTAATGGTTTGTTATTCCAGCTTCTATTGTCAAAATATAGTAGCTTAGCTTGGGTAGAAAGTTCTCGCATGTTATAAGAGTTGTCAAATCTTCTAGCTCACCCCAAACCCAACTGATTTCCTTCATTTCCTTACTTCCTCCCGCCCTTTCTCATCCTTCCCCAGCAAAAACTCCCAAAATAGATCAATATTTTTTTAAACATAATTCATTTACCAAATTATTCTTTTCAATTTTTTTTTATATTTGCCTAATTTAATGTAAATATATAATTTTTTATTTTAAAGTTTTAAAAGGTCATAAAAGATGATAAAAAAATACTCAAAAAATTATATCCAAATCCTAAAAAGATTAGGAGGGAAAGGTGGTTGGGATTGTGCCACATTGCACCATTGTGACATCATTACTATAATTTGGACAATTTAATACTACAGTATGCCAAATTAAAATTATAGCTTATACGCCATTGGAGATGTTCTAATGTATAAATTCATACATTTTAGCTACCTGTCTTCTTTAGAAGGTTTTGTGAACTGAAAATTTTTTGGGTATGTTTTGTTTGGGCATTAGGGGGTGGGAGATTGAGTTGGGTTGACGAAGATGAAATGAGACGTGTAAATTTACAACGAGGTGATGTCTATAGAATGCAGCACGGGACTGTATTCTTTGTACAAAGCAACTTAGAACCGGAACGACAGAAGCTCAGAATCTACGCTATCTTCACCAACTCAATCGACGACTTGCATGTACGTATGAGTTTTTGCTACACATTGTTCCCTTCATTATTTGTTCCAGGAACCGTGTGATTAGCTGTTGATGATCACTAGTATATTTTAAAATGTTGGGTACGACTGTAAATGATACTTCTTCATGCAGGAACCCAATATGAGGGTGTATTCAAGCATTCGCGACCTCATCCTCGGCTTTGATAATAAAGTCCTCCAAGAAGCCTTCATGGTAATCTTCCAACAATGATTTTCGAATTTCAAATTATACAGACTGCTTGAATACAGAATGCTTTTTACCAGAGTAATGTATTTACTAAACTGAATTCTATTTATATTTGTGAGAATCTACAGAGTAACCATCATATATTTTTGGTCTGTGTCACAAACTCACAGATTCTGTACAAAAAGAAAGCAAATAAAAAAAATTGTAAATAGAATGATGTTAGTGCAGAGTAATGCTACGAAAGGAATGTAAACAGAAAATGTATTTGCTGAAATGAACTGAATCTATTACAATTTTTAAACAAAATACCCACAAAATGGTTTTTAATTATAAAACTGTCACTCATATCATTCCGATTCTGATAGAAGATCGATCTTGTATAAAAATGTTGTAAAAATAACAGAGTACCATTTTATTTAACCGTACATATTGGCAAGGTATGACTTTTGTATTACTTATTTCAAATACATAATCAATTAAGAATATTAATTATGCGGTGATATAAAACATTTTCTAAATAAAATTTTCCATTTGGTCGCCAAGTGGATAACAAGCCAATGGCCTAATAAAGAGAGGAGCTAATCAGAACATATTAATCAATTTCAATAGCAAAGATTTCACATTATCTACTTGTGCCTGCAGTTTTGCTTTCATGAATTAAAATGTAATAGACCATATGTTGAAATGGGTTTTCAAAGGTTTCCGAGGATGTGATAGAAGAATTAACAAGGGGAGCAATGCCGCTGGCAATAGGACATGCGCCCCCAAGGAAAGAACGAACATTGTGGGAGCTCGAAGCTCAATTCATGAAAGCAATTTTGGGAAGCAGAGGTTACAGCATGTTTGACACGAACAACAAGAAGTACAAAGCCCAAGTGTTCAATATCCTGAAAGCAGATCCGGATTTCGAAAACTGTAATGGGCGGAGCCTGATGGTAACCAAGAAACAGTTGCCTGCACTAAGAGGTTCCAAAATTGGTATTTTCATGGTGAACTTGACTAGGGTAAGTTGCTGGAAATACTTACTTTTCATATTCTAAATATGCTATTAGTGAAATATAGGTGTCAATAATTCTATCATTGTTTTGCTGATATGTTATTAAAAGGGGTCGATGATGGGGCCGCACTGGAATCCAATGGCTAGTGAAATATCTATAGTGATGCAAGGCCAAGGGATGGTTCGCGTGGTTTGTTCTAGCACAATGAATGAATCAGGATGCAGAAACATGAGTTTCAGGGTTGGAGAAGGTGATGTGTTTGTCGTGCCAAGGTTCCATCCCATGGCCCAAATGGCCTTCAACAACGAGTCATTCGTTTTCATGGGATTCAGCACAACAACAAAGAAGAATCATCCTCAGTTCCTCGCGGGAAAAGCCTCAGTCCTCCGAACTTTGGGCCAACAAGTGGTGGCAGCATCCTTCGGTGTCGCCAACATGACAATTAGTCATCTTTTGGATTCACAGGGTGAATCAATCATATTGGATTGCATATCTTGTGCAGAGGAAGAAGAAAGGATGATGGAGGAAGAAATTGAGAAGGAAAAGGAGGAAGCTAGGGAGAGAGAAGAAGAGGAGGCGAGGAAGAGGGAGGAAGAGAAGAAGAGAGAGGATGAGGAAGAGGAAGCCAGGAGGAGGGAGGAGGAGGAAGCAAAGAGAGAGGAGGAAGAGAAGAGGAGAAAAGAAGAAGAGGAAGCAAGAAAGAGGGCAGAGGAAGAAGCTAGGAGGGAGGAGGAGGAAGCTAGAAAGAGAGAGGAGGAGCAGAGGAGACAGGAACAAGAAGAAGAAGAGGAAGCCAGAAAGAGGGAGGAGGAGGAGGAAGAAAAGAGGAGACGTGAAGAGAAGGAAACCAGAAAGCGGAAGGAGGAAGAGCAGAGACGGGAAAAAGAAGAAGAAACTAGAAAGAGAGAGGAAGTGGAAGCAAGGAGGAAGGAAGAGGAGGCGGCTAGGAGAGAGGAAGACGAAGCCAGGAAGAGGGAGGGGGAGGAAGCAAGAAGACAAGCGGAAGAGGATGCAAGGAGGAGGGAACAGGAAGAGGCAAGGAGGAAGGTAGAGCAAGAGGAAGAGAGGAGAAGACGAGAAGCGGCAGAGAGAGAGGAAGAAGAGGCCAAGCGACAGGAACAAGAAAGGGAAGAGATGGAGAAGCGACGAGAAAAAGACACAAGAGAGAGGGAAAGACAAGTAGAGGAAGCCAAAAGGCAAGAGCAAGAAGAAGAGGAGGGTGGCGGCGAAGGCGCATGAAGAAGAGTTTTGAAAAAAATGTGGAAGTTTTAGCGTGTCCAACTTGTGTCTACTTGGTCAGTTTGTTACTTACACATGCTTCTAGGTAGACGAATAAACCCCCTTGCCAACCTGTGTTTTGTGTTTTTTGTCTATCTCGGTGTTTTGGTTCAATGTTTATTCGTACAGTAAACTTGTGATCCATGTTTTTGTCTATCTTGGTGTACATATTCAACCAAGTTATCAAAGTTATCCTGCTCTACATATTGTATTCATACTTTGCACTCTCATGGCAGGCTTAAGACCACCGATTGCAGATCTAAAAATGTTAATTTGAGTGTGCATCCAATCCATGGTTCTCTTTGCAGGGTTGTAAGATATTTATTTATTTATTTATTTATTTTTTCAATAATAGAATATCTCATGAATGTATCTTCTACATGCATAGCAAAAGGATTTACTGCTGCAATGCATCTCATAAAGGTTGACCACGAGGTTTCAAACCTTCACATAAAGTGAAAGCAGTGGACAGCCAAGTTGCAAGAGAAAATCGGTTACATGAATTATGTTTTATTATATTGCTCTATCAGAGATTATATGTTCAGTTAAGTTTAATTTTTTTATTTTTTATTTTTAAAGTATGACATCCATTGTCAACTTAGGCCATGTTTGTTTGGGTGGACTGGATTAGTATTCCCATGACTAATAGTCCTAAGATTACGAATCCATTGGATTATGTATCCTATCTTAACTAATAGTCAAGTTTAAAATAATTAGTCCGTACTTCAATTGTTTAACCAAACATACCTTTTTTTACAGTTGCATTTATAAGTTTACATGATTAAATCATCTTAATATATTGTCTCTCAATTTATCTTTAATTAGTGTTACTTTTACCATTTTTTTTTAAACCATTTTACAAATATATTTATTTTTTATTTTACCTTTTTTAGTTTTATCTCACATTCATCTAACCATTTTCATCAGTCATATTTATTTTATGCCTATATTGTTAATTAGTTAATCAACACTATCCCGTAAAACATTGTTGACTTTACAATTAATATATATATATATATATATATTTATTTTGTTGGTATTTGTCAATTACATAATATGCTGAACACACTCATTCACAGTCAACTTATTGTATAAGATCTTCACCACATGCGAGCTTAAAATTATAAAGTATACAAGTTCACTACAATCTGTTCAGCTCTAAACCAGAAATGAGATCAGCACAATGTAATGTCTTCATACAGGTTCATCTATCTTTCTAATAAGTTCGCTACTTCTCTCTTTATCTTGAAAGAGATTTGATGTGCACACCAAAGAATGATCAATTTCAAAATTATGAATGAAATTTTTTTTTATGAAAATTGCACATTGGGTTAACGAAGAAACAAATAACTAATCTGTTTCATAGCTCTGTTTATTACCACATACAACATATGGGAATTTAAAAGCAAAAGAAAGGCAGCAAAACTGGTGTGAGAAAACTCACATGCTGGTCGAGCTAGTGACATAAGAAACAACAACAGTGGTGTCATCAAGTTTGCCACCATAATAGCGGAACCCAGCATCCTGAGCAGCTGTAGAAAAAGGCGTCTGCCTGTTCCTGTCAAGAGCTCGCTGGCGTGCCAGAGCTGCAATCTTCTGAGCAGTTACCTGTGGCCCCAAGCCTTCTCTCGTCCCATGAACAATCACAGCAGTAATCTCATTATCATACAAGTTGTCAAACAATCCATCCGTCCCAGCTACAATAACATCTCCTGGTACAACTGGTATTGTGAAAACCTGACCACATTTATCCCCAGGTCGATGAATCGGATAAAGTCATCTATGCTTTGTATCATATGAAATCTCAAGGAAGCTTTTTGCCCAAAATATATTCATCACTCACTGAGAGAAATAAAGAATGCCATTAAGGCAAAAATATAGGAATTACAAGCATTAAGAATTTTATTCCAGGCATTTCTCTAGAACTCAAGCCCATTGAATGTATCCAGTGCCTTAGCTGTTTCTCAAGAAGTTAAGATGTTATAAATTATGTAAAAATATACTTGAAATTAAATAGGATTGAGGAAAATTTTGAAATTTTTCTCACATCCACATGGGAGGTTAGAAATGTTTCTTTACTATCATATGTGAGCTTCTTCAAACATTGTAAAAAATAGGAGGATTCAAATGTCTGAATTAGGCCTCGTTTGAGAACAGCCTAATTTAGTAACTTTTTTGCTATTTGGCTAAAATATGAGCTAAAAAAAACTAGTATGTTTGGGATGACTTTTTGGCTTTTTACGAAAAGATGTGCAAAAAGTAGAGAGAAAAGAGAATCTTTGACTTTTTGGTATGGGTTGTTGGCTTTTTGGCTAATTTAGTAACTTTATGGCTTTTTGGCTAAAAAGTTCGGTTGACAAACGAGGCCTTAGATACAGGTATCAAACACGTAATTCACACCCTTACCCTTGTTATATATCCAATGGACAGGGGTACTATGGGGGAGATGGAAAAGTCCATGTAACACACGGGGGCAGTTTGACAAGCTGATTAAAAGCATTTTTGGTCATATCGCCTCTCACATTTTTTACCCACAAAAAGCCAAAAAAGCCAAAAAAAAGTCAAAAGGCCAAAAAATTAACTTTCAACCAACTTCCCAAAACACCCCACCTTGGTTTGGGATAACCTACAAAAACCAAAAATTCAAAAAGTTACTAAAAAAGCCAAAAAGTCCATACTATTTTGGGAAAATTTGTGGGGGGAAGCCTAGAGGGCAAAATTATTATTTTGCCTTTTGAATTCAATTATCCAAAAGTCAAAAGGTCAACAAAGGTAGAATGGTCATTTTGATTTAACCACAATATTTTATTACACATCTTTTTGTAAAAAGTCAAAAAGTTATCCCAAACATACATCTTTTTCTTCTCTACTTTTTTTAGTCAAAAAGTCAAAAAGTGCACTCATATAGCACATCCCAAACAACCCTAAGTTTGACCAACATTTGCCCCTCTTGTCACAGACCCTAAACTTCAGAGGACTTAAACCGCCTTGGAGTTTTAATAATTAAGAACCAACAACTTGTAAATTCCTTTTGCTAGGAGGTACACACCTGCAAGCAAAAAGAAGATAAAGTCACATGTGCGCAAGCACATGCGCACACACAGAGGATGAAGGTCAAGGAACTTCCCAGATTCCACTTATTTTTGTTCTCCTCCTCAAAAACCAGCCAAATTGTTATGAAGCAGAGATTCTTGGTCTCTTCACAAAAAAAAAAACCAAGTTATTATTAACTGGAACGATTCACAACCACCAAAAAGAACCTTGTCAGCCCCAAAACCCAAGCCCATTAAATCCTGCTAAACCCTAATCCCTTCCCCTAGACTCAAAACCGTAATTAGCAGCTGCCCGCAGCTTCCAGCAATGGAATCTCTTAAACTTCAGCAACATGCCAAACTAATTTCAGTTTCTTTTGATATACAAACAATATAGCTTAATTTCAATCTCTTTTCATCCACAAACTATAAAACTCTTTTCCTATGTTTAGCAAACTAAACCTACAATCTTCCTCTGCCTAATCAACCAGTATTCAGAGTTTTCTGATACTGCCATACATCAGTTTGGTATCAAGTTCATAGGAGGGAGTTTTCATGTACTTGTGCCTATATACATTAGATGTTATCTTCAGTCCACCCTAAAACCACATAGTCTCAACTACTATCATCTTTCTTTCTTTTTTGATGACTGGGTGTCCAGGCCAACTTATGCGCACCTCAACTAATCCCTGAACTCACACAAAGTGCTCCCTTCATGTGGATCCGGCAAATCTCAGGCAAAGCCTACGAGCGTGACTCCAAGGAGTTGATAGCACCTTGAGGGAGTTGAACATGAGACCTGGAGAGAGCACACCCGTAGGACCCAAGCTGCACCCACTAGGCCAATTCCTTGGGGTTCTCAACTACTATCATCTGACCATTATTGAGGTTTTTGATTCTGGGGAAAGAAACAACACAAAAGTAACACAATGAACATAAACATGCTTTCCTGTTCTTGGCAATAAGAAGCTTTCAAGTGAATGGGCAAAAGATAAGCTTTCTGACCAGCCAATTGAAAAATGAAACAGGAGTGATGTAGTAACAGATGCATCTGAGACTTTGATCAAGACAACTCACAAGAAATTCGCTGTTCAAGTTCCACCAAAGGGAGCACCAATAAAGAAGTAAGAACTGAATCAATCCATTAACGCACCTGGCCAGAACTTGGCAGATCACCTTCATTGCCACTTTCCAACTGATATGTAAAATTGAAACCATGCTGCTGCACAGGAGATTGGAAGATGGTGCATCCTTCTCTGACTACGATAAATCCACTATCCCCAAGATTAATGGCTTGCAAACTCCGCTGAAATAAACAAATGAGATTCATCGAATCAGTGTCAAGAAGTACATGTCCATTCGCTTTCACAGTTCAAGAAGGCAAATATTCTATATAAACTTCAAACTAGAGCAATTTTTACACTTGGAAACAGCTTATTACAGAAGTTTATTACAATGCATGAGAAGCAAACAGAACAAATTTGAACTCAATGTCCTGATGAGAAAAAAGGAGTAAAGAGAACCTCAAACTGATAAAGGACAGGTGGACAACAGGTATTGTCACTGCTGTAGGCTAATCCAACTAGAATCTCCATCTAGATTCCTGTTGTGCTTGGATTATTGAAAATAAATGAAGATAAATTGCAAGGATGCTTCATGACCCCACCCATTTGACCGTGACTTACCCCAGCTACAGTTCCCCATCCACAAGTAAACATCTTTCTACTGGAGGCACTCCTTGAGTAGAAAAACTGTTAATATCTTCCCATTCACTGTACTATTTTTGGGAATCAAATTAAGGAAGCTTCTATTAGAAAAGCACCAGGAAGCAACCCATATACACTAGATGTATACAAACCAAACATATACTGCAAACCATTGTATTTGTCATGCGCTCTGTCCCATCCAGGTATTGTGTATGACAGGCTTAAGGAATCTTTTAGTCTAAACTTCTTGGGAAAAAAAAATTGTGGAAAAAACTGTTGTGTTAAAAGCATTGCAATTCACAGCAAGTGGGGAGCCAAATCAATTCCGCTGTATTACCAGGAGAAGAAACTAACCCCAGTAATTGTAAGAATGTGTCCCAGAAGTAAGATAATTATTATTTACGTTTTTCATATTTCAGTAGAGAACAATACAGATGAGACCTCAAAACTGGGATTGAGTCCACCGTTCTCTTTCAAACAAAAGATTCATCCAGTCAACACATTTAATTGACCAGATGAAGTTCCTAAATTCATTGGAGTTATAGATATAAACAAAAATCTTAAAATGCTAGTGAAGGGGAAAGAACCACATAGACTTCCTCACTGCATGAAGCAACCATGTTATCCTGGCTGTTAAAACTTGATAACACTTCTTCTTTTTCCAAAAAGAAAATATGTTTTGGGCACATAAAAGAAAATATATCAAGATGGTTGGACAGTTTAGTTATAGACATAAATGCAAATCTCACAATGATAGTAAGGGGAAAAGAACCACTCAGAAATTCCTGATCCCATAAAGCAACCATGTATTTCCTGGCGGCTGTTAAAAACAATGATCAGATAGAACTTCATATTTCCTATGTCAAGTGAGAATATGTTTGAGGTACATTAAAGGAGATCAACGTGGCTGGCTAGTGCAACAAAGCACAACAAACCTGGTTTGTAAGGGCTATGATGCAAGCTGTTGAGGAACCCTCGGCTTTTGTGATTGAGTGAGCTTTCTCCAACACCCCAGCTGGGTCAATGGAACCCTTCGGTTCATCTTGAATTGCAGCTACTGAATTAGACATGAGTTCACGGGCAAAATGCCCTGCATTAATACCAACATCTGCCCAGCCACCAACACCATCTGCTATGCCAATTGCTTGCTCATCTTCACAAATGAAGTGAGCATCCTCTCCACCTGTTTTTTCTTTATCAGGATGTGGAAGATAGCAAGATCCTGATTGTAGTTTCAAGGTCCTGTCGCCTAGAATATTTCTGGAGTCAACAAGGAGCAATATTAATTAGCAGAAACCACAAAGTAATTACTTTTTTTATATTTATTCTCAAAAGTGACCTGTATTTATTCTAAAAAGTAACCTGCAGGGAAATTATACTCAAATCATTACAAAGTTTGTCATACTTTGTTTCATTCAAACCAACTCAGGCAAATTTATTAAGAAGAAACAGTCCCCTCTAGGCACGTATGGTTTGTCAAGCACACACATCTGTTGCACAAACAAATTTATATGTGATCAATTGTTTACCTGTAATCAACTATTTTTTCATGATTCTGCTCTTTTCCTACGTTCTACTTCTGCGAGACAAATTATTCTTTTGTTACATTGAAGAAATGATTATTAGTGGAATGGCTTTGAGAATATTCCTGTTTTGAAAGATCAGCTGCAAATTATTTTGAGATGAACAATCTTGGTTCATTTTGCTATTATTTGGGGATTGGAGTAGCTTCTTCTCCTCAAGGGTAATTTCTCTCTCAATCCAAATATACAACTGAAATCATTCAGTGGGCCATGTTGACAAATTCTCGGAAGTGGACACACCTCTTAAGCTCAATGTGCATTATTCCTCAACTGATGGTGTTCCTTTGTTAGATCCTACTTTGTCTTGTATTCTTGTTGGTAGTCTTGTCTACCTTACAATTACATGACCAGATATTACTCGGGGGGGAGGTGCTAAGATTGTCTTTTATTTAGCTTGAGGGTAGTTTAGTCTTTAGTACTTTATTATGGTTTTTGTTTATGTAGTAGTCTCTTGTAATATTCCATTATTATCAAATGACATGATGTTAGTTTAGTCTCCAAAAACTTGGTTTTGACAACTAAATGATGTTAGGAAACTAATTAATGTTTGTGCATGCATCTCGTTATAAGAAATGAATTATTGTTTGTGTTTGTATGCATGCATCAAAATAAAAGCTTCAAGCAATGTATGTTTATGCACTTGGGTTTGGTAAAAATTTGCTAGATAATCATAAAGGGACTTATGTATAGGTCATAATAGGTAAACTTATTGTCCAATAGGTCCTGTGAGAATTAATGGCCTTTTTCATCAAATACTATTAAAAAAGTCACTGATTATTAATTTTCAAAAGCGATAGTTTGAAAATTGTCACAAAAAATGTCACTAATTATAAATTATGGTTACAATTTAAAAAAATCATCACAAAAAAGTCACTAATTTTTAACTTTCAGCGACAGTTTGAAAAATTCGTCACAGAAAAACGTTACTAATTGTAAATTTTAGATAAATTGTGACAAACGAAAGTTACTAATTGTCTATCTTTAGCGACATATGCAAAAAATTATCAAAAAAAATTATTTTTAGCGACGATGACGATTTTACTGGGACTTATTTTCAATAGGACTTGATGGAAATTAAGACCAACTATTAAAACCTATTGGTAGTTTACCCTAATCGTAATTGTAGCACACTGGACAACAAATAATCAACCGACAGCCATTCATTTAGTGCTTGTTTGGCATTTGCTAAAATAGCACACGCTATTTTAGCACATTATCGTATTTTGGTCACAATCATCTTATTTGGGTCACATTACCTCTCTATCACATCACTTAAAATCCAACCCATATTTTATGTTTTTTCGTAAAAAGTCAAAAAACAACCCCTTGATATGGATCTAGGATTTTTATTAATTTTTCATTCCTTTTGAGCTTTATATTACTTGAACTTGTCGTTGAGTCCACTTCTCATCCTTAGAATCCATGATTGTGTAAGAGTCTTAGCAATTTCAAATTTTTGTCAGAAAAGGTGGATCTTCAGCTCTTTCTATCCCTTGTTTAACTCCCATTACCCGAATTGGTCTATGGCACCCAACTAAAATAGTTTCATGGAGTAAGATTTTTGGACTTTTGACTCAGTAATTCCTCGAGTAATCTACGCAAAAGTATATATTTTATTAAAACCTTTAGCTTTGCAAGGTAGATTCCCCTTTTACTGACATGCTCAATGTTTTCTAAAGTTTCCTTCGCTATTCTAGCATTTTGAAAAATGGGAGCCTTATTTTCATATGTGTTTTGTCCCCTGTTCATGCAAATTAGTTTTTTTCATGTCTTATTTTGTGACTTACAACCATATCCTTAAAAGGCATTGTATTCCTACTTATGGAAGGTAGCAACATGAAGAGAAAAAAATGAATACAATCATGATAACCAAATCCACTATATCTTAATTAATAACAACATCATCAGTAATGGCACAAACAAAGAAAGAGAAGAAGAAATATGCTCCAAATGGTTGCACAAACAAATCAAATTTTTTTTTCTTGGCACATCCAAAAGGGAGGGCATGAGTTAGGGGTTTGAATCTTCATGTTAACTGAAAAAAAAAGGCAGCAAACAAAAATGTTTCAATAACACAATACTAGGGATGGATGGCTAAACGACAATATACCTTCTCGAGTAAAATAAGTGGGGTTTATAGACTACAATACTAGAATGCCAATGAAATTATTACTCATTTGCAAAATATCAGTTAAAATGAAGCAGTGGATCTATGAATAAAGGGCTGGATGTTTTCTGATTAATTTCTTGTCAAGTTATGGAGGTCAGGTTCACCTCGAATTGAACCAACAAGAGGTCCCCCCCCCCCAAGTGGGTCTCCCCCCCCCCGGGAAGTGGGTCTTTTCTTTCCTATTTCTTCTTTTTTATTTGTGTTAATTTTGTTAAGAGAATCATACGTAACAATTGGTATCGTACAAGTGAACCCCCACAATTGCTTCAAAAAATATTAAAATTAGAGTTACTGAGAGAGTGATAGTGCAAAAGTAAGTACCAATCATGAGATATGCTCCCATAAAAAAACTTGTAAAAATAATAATAAGAGAAGGAGATAAAACAACCACAAGATAAAAGCATGTACCGCTCAGCGGGAGCCGCAGAATTTGCAAGCTGTTCATCACATGCCAATCCATCGAATGACACATTGGGGACAGCATCATCAGAGTAACATTGAGAGGAAGAGGTATGGAGGCTTCTAAACCATGGTCCAACAAGTGAATTAGAGTTGCCAGACCTCCATGTAATATCAAATTTATGACACCCGTAAATACTGCACCTGTTAATTGTTTCTTGACTTTTGAAACCTATGCCAGCTTTTTGGCAATTGTGCAGCCTTCTATCACTGAAATAAACACCGGTTGGTTGTACAAAGTTTAAAACATTCCCACAACTTGAGATTAAGCTATCAACAACTAAATCTCCGGTAGCAGCTTTTGATCCAGAAGTAGCCATAGATGCTCGGTAAAGACGATTCCTTGGATATTCAAATGCCTGCCAAGCTGATCCAAACACAAAGGGTGCACAATGTGATTGAGATAGAGCTCCAGCAACAAAGAGTCAAATTCTCTGATTAACAAAATGACAGTTTGATGTTATGATAGAGCCTGTACCAGGTTATAAAACTAAGTGCAAGCTCGTGTAAGTCAGAAATGAAGAGCTATGAGAAAACCCACAATTCCCAAATGAGTGTTAGCCCTGATTGAGCAGTAATTCAATCAAATTACAGGGTCAATTGGGATTGTGCCCTAATGAAACTTTGAAAAGCATAACAGAAAGAAATTAATGTTCGAATTTGAGAGAAAACTATATGGCACTTTACAAGCCTTAAATGAAAAACCCACAATTCAGTTCCCGAATTTGAGCAACCCCAAATCACAAACACTGTACAAAAGATTAAAATTCACAACTCCCAATACAAAATCTATCGCTTTAGCTTCCTTGAATAAGTATTTGAACATATATGCAGTGTGTGAGTGTGAATTTCAGCCAGAAATTGAAAGAAAAAAAAAAAATCTAACTTTCTGAAAAGAACATGAGTTTGAGAAGGTACCTATACTGATGAATTGGGGATTGAAACCAGGAACTTAGTAAAGAAAGGAAGCTCTGAAGCTCCTATTTGGGTCTTCGGAGCTCTCTCTCTCTCTCTCCGTGTCTCATTCTTCGTCTTCTTCACCAGTTTGTTTAGTATTTGTTTTTGCGTGGAGTTTTAGCGTCCAACAAACGACTGGACGAGGGCTGCCTCCATTTACACGTACTCTGTTAAGCGGTTGGTTAAGAATATCTAAATAAGGGTATTTTTTATTATATAAAAAAGGTAGAGAGATGATATAATGAAAAAAAATAAAAAGATAAATTATTTTTAGGTTGTCAACTTGGCCTAAGTCATCCCACTACTCGGGCACCCTTTAATAATTTGATAAATATAAAATTTGTTCAATACACGTCATAATCATTTACCTTTACCCTTGTTTATACACTTTCACCAATATCTTCCATCTTCACTCTTACTCACTCACACACCTCACTAGCGATCTTCCCCTCCATTCTCTGTTTCATCAAAAACACCAGTAGTGAAACCAATTCTTCTCTATTCTCTATTTCATCATGTCGGTGGAAACAACTACATATTGGAGATACAATAGATGAAAATTTTCATTTTGCCTAGATTTGAGGGTTTTATGTACGTTTTTCCATTGCCATGAACATTGTGTATAAATGTTTGATTTTGCGAAGCAGTGGCATTATATATAGAAGTTTGATTTTGCGAAATGTTCGACACTGGCCTGTTGAACATTAACATTTTTGTCCGAAGTATTTCTGTCAAACAAATTCAATATGTTCGACATTTTAATGTCGAACAAAATTGAATAGTTCGGCTCTGTACTTTCGAACGGACTTATCTTTCACGGTTTTCTGTTTCATTTTCAGAAATAGATGACCATTTGTGTATTCCAACCATTGTCTCAGAGAGACGACGTCGTGCATTAACAAATTCTATTTGTAGCCGAGGTCGAGGTCGGCGTCGGCGTCGGCGTCGGGGTAGAGGTAAGGGTAATGATATTATGTTGGTGGAAACAACATTTGAGATACTTGATGTGTATTGTATTCATTATTGTCCTTTATGATAATTTTACAAAAGGTGTGTATCATAACCCTTTGTCCTTTATAATCATTTTACATAAGGTTAATATTGTAATAAAAATTAAACCAATTAATAATGTGAAATGTAAAATAGTGTGTAAATAGAGCACCCTCACAAGCCAGGTAACATCTATCTATCCCTTTATTCAAGCTAAATTACAAAACAAACTGTTTTGGGGGAAATTTTATGAGGCTGGGCCATTTTTAGCTTTACTCCAAATTTTAACAAAAATTATTTGGGTAAATTATAATCCTTGATTTGGATTTTCTAAAAACACTTTTTTAAAAATTCTATTTTCTTATTTTTGGTATTTTTTTGTTTTTATTGAATTTTTTTTTAATATTTTAAGTAATTTTTTTAATTTTTAGATACATTTAACATAAATACACTTAAAAAGTATAATTTTCATGAAAAAAATCTTTAAAAAATTCACTAAATACCAAAAATAAAAAAATATATATATGAAAATTCAGTATGTTTTTTTGTATTTTCGTGTATTTATTAATTTTTTGAAATATTTTTCACAAATATTTTACTTTTTAGATACATCTAAGTAAGGTGTATCTAAAAAAGTAAAAAAATGCTTAAAATTTAAAAAATATTTATTAAAAACAAAAAAACACGAAAAACAAAAAACAAAAAACAAAAAACTCAATTTTCAAAAAAATGAATTCAGAAAACTAAAACCAAATACACTGAATAATTCTTATTTGCATTTTTTTGCTAGTGCTTCAAAACTCAACTATTATTATTAACCATTTTGAAGTATTATTTTGTTACAATTAATTCTTTATGTTAGAATTTTGTTGGAAATTTATACAAAATCAGATCAAATGTGAAGCACATGACATATTTATTAAAATTTTAAAACAATAATGTCATTATTTGGTAATCTCGTTTGCATTTTACTACTAAGATAATGGAGACAAAGTGTATATGAGATTACTATACAAGGGTATTCACTACTACAAAAATAGTTCAAGATCACACTTTGACAAAAAAAAAATCTCACTTTTATTGGAAGTGTGATAAAAAAAATTAGATTAATATTTTAATCACACTTAATTTGATTGAGTGTGATAACATTCATTTTTTATGTCACTTTTCAATTAAGTGTGATTATATATACACTACTACTTTTTAATCACACTTTTTAAATAAGTGTGATTAGATATATTTTTTTTAATCACACATTCTAATTAAACTGTGATTATTTATATATTTTTTAATCACACCTTCTAATTAAAGTGTGATTATATATACATTATTACTTTTTAATCACACTTTTTAAATAAGTGTAATTATATATATATATATATATATATATTTAATCACACTCCACTACAAGAAAAAGCATTTTTGGCGACTAAAAAAACACATTTGGTCACTGAAAGTATAGGTCTTGGCGACTAAAAAAGCATTAGTAGCCAAAAATAAATATTTTTGGCGACAAAAAATTTAGTAGCCAAAAGTATAGGTTTTGGCAACTAAAAATCTATTTGGTTGCCCATATATGGCTTTTACTGACTAAAAAAATTTTAGTAGCCAAAAGTAAGGTTTTTTGGCGACTAAAAAAAAATTAGTAGCCAAAAGTGAGGTATTGGGTGACTAAAAAGATGTTTGGTAGCCAAAAGTGAGGTTTTTATCGACTAAAAAAATTTTAGTAGCCAAAAATGAGATTTTTTTGCGACTAAAAAAAATTTAGTAGCCAAAACTGAGGCATTGAGAGACTAAAAAGATGTTTAGTACCCAAAAGTGAAACTTTTTGGCAACTAAAAAGAAGTTTAGTCTCCAAAAGTAGTAATTTTAGCATGGGAATTAAATTTTTTAATGACTAAAAAATAATTAGTAGCCAAAAGTATAGAATTGGCGACTAAAATTATGTTTAGTTGCCAAAAGTGGTCTCTTTTTTTTTTCTAGTAAATTATGTTCAATAAAAAATAATTATCTTTATATATATACTTTTATATTAATACGGGTCTATGTACTATATAAATAATAAATTAACAGTAAGCTAATTAAGAGCTTCTGTGCAAAATACAAGATTAAAAACTACTATTCCACTCCAAGCTTTCCTCAAAGCAATGCGGTTGATAGTTCGAATCTCCAGAAGAGCAAATGAGAAGCTAGTGAGTGTAATATATTTTTTTTTCACATCTAAATGTTATTAATCACGCTTAAAAGGTGTGATCTAAATACTATTAATCACACTTAAAGAGTGTGATTAAAAATGACCTCTTTTAATCACACTCCCAAAGATCACACTTTAATAAAACTTAAAAGGTGTGATTAAATAACATACATCACGTGTGAGACGGTTGATAGTTCGAATCTCCACAAGAGCAAATGAGAAGCTAGTGAGTGTAATATATTTTTTTTTCACATCTAAATGTTATTAATCACACTTAAAAGGTGTGATCTAAATACTATTAATCACACTTAAAGAGTGTGATTAAAAATGACATCTTTTAATCACACTCCCAAAGATCACACTTTAATAAAACTTAAAAGGTGTGATTAAATAACATACATCACACAAAAAAAAGTGTGATATTTATCTGTTTTTGTAGTAATGATTATTGTCCTAAAAATCAATAAATATGTCATGTGCTTCACACTTGGAGGAACTTATGGCCAGGATAGAAAAGTATGTCAGGACCGAAGAGGACACGCCGGGGACAAAAGCGTCGAAACAAGAGAAGAAAAACGGCTCGCCGAAGCGAGGCCGAGGTCATGATAGATACAATAAGCAAAAAACAGGACTAAGGGCTGTATAGGCAGTCACAACTGTATTCCGAATTCCAGTCTACAAAGTCTTGGAAAGAATCCAGAATCAACCCTATTACAGAGCACTAGAAAAGTTTCCTAGTGAATTTATGGAAAGAAGTCTAGGGAAACATTGTGTCTACCACAATGAGGATGGGCATCTAACTCAAGGGTGCAGAGCCCTAAAAGCACATCTGGAAGACCTGGCAAGACAAGGTCATCTAAGAGACCTGGTAGATGAGACTAGGACAAGGGAAAAGAAGCGAGACTGCCTTAGGCACTGGCGACACCCCCTTCACCAGCACCGCCACCGTAAGCAAGCGAACCTGGAGTGATCAATGTGATTCACTCGAAGGTCGATGAAAATGAGATACGTGGAGAAACTCAGAAGGTAAAATACTTGCAACATGTATACCAGGTTCAAAAAGACATCGGGCCGAGGAGTACCAAGGACTAGTGGTGTCCTTTACTGAAGATGACCTAGAGATGGTACAACATCCACACAACGATGCCTTGGTAATATCCCTCTAGATTGGAGAGTGCTAGGTAAAGCGAATTTTGATTGACCAGGGCAGCTCTTGTGACATCATGTATGTCAGATGTTACAAGGAGCTTGGCCTTCACCAAGATGATCTGGAACAATCCAATGGCCCAATGGTCGGATTCAATGAAACGCTGATGTGGCCCCTAAGAGCAGTAAGTTTTGAGGTGCAGGCTGGCACCAAAAAGGTAAAAACTGAGTTCACTATAATTGACACCCCCTCCCCTTACAATGCTATCCTGGGTAGGCCATGGCTGCATGCAATTGGGGTTCTTCCCTCAATATTGCACCAGCTGTTATGATTCCCAACAGAGCATGGAATTGAGGAGGTCAGAGAGGATCAAGTGCAGGCAAAGAATTGCTCCATGGCAGCCATGAAATCCACCTGTAACATACGAGAAGCAGAAGCAACAGAGATTGAAGATGAGGACATGGAGGTCCTTGAGGACGTCAACAAGGAACCAGCCGAGAAAAGTGAGGAAGCCCTGAAGAAGATCTTAGTCCAGCAAGAGGATGAAGAACGTTTCTTCCTCCTCGGCTCAGGCTTGGTCGAGAAAGAGGAAAGGGAGTTAGAAGCATTCTTGAGAGCAAACCTTGAGGTGTTTGCTTGGACACCGTACGAGATGTCTGGCATTGACCCCAAGGCCACTTGCCATAAATTGAATGTGGACAGGTCGGCCAAGCATGTCATCCAGCGAGCAAGAAGGCCGACGTTGATGCATGTTTAGGAATGGCAACAGGGCGGGGCGGGGCGGGGCGGGGCCGGGGATCACCCTCCCCGTCCCCGTCCCCGATCCCC